ACATCCATGCTGCCAAAACTCTATGTTCAAAATCCAAACATCGATGTTAATAATACTTCGACCAAAATCGATGTTTAAAACCCAAACATCGATGTTAATAATACATCGACGAAAAACCATCGAAGTTTTTCAACATCTATGATTTAAAGTTATTTTCGTAACCCCTAATATTAAATTCGTGGGCAACAAAATTTAATTTGATCAAACCGTAGCCATGCTCATTGATTTATAGTTAAAATGAAACAGATAACAAAGTTATACTTTTCTCCATGTGAGAAATAAAGGAAAACTAAGGAAATACCAGGATTATCACGAGCAAAGGGATGGTAGTCTGCTCAATGAAGGTAGAAAAAACAGAGTTCGTTTCGATCAAATAAATACAAATACTGGTATCATCAGTTATTGTTTTTTTATTTTAAGTTTTACAAAATTGTTTTATGTACCTCTTTCATTCATGGACAAAACATCGAAAACGTAAACACATGGAATCCCCAAACATCGGTGTTCAAAAACCAAAGGTTTCAATATATTGATGTTTTGAAAATATCTACATCGAAGTCGCATTCCTGCGTCATTCCCGCCGGCAGGTGCCTTCGAAGTTATCTTCCACATAGCTGCTGCCGCTACCGCTGCTCATTCCCGTGAACTCGTGGAAGATTCAATTATCAATAAGTGTACTGTACCACACTTTTCAGTAATATACACTAGAGTTGTATCACATTTTGTTCGATTCACCTCTAATGAATTATAATTCTCATACGTGATTTCTTGTTACAAAGGAATACAAATGGTTTATGCAGCTCAACATTTCACTGACGCCGCAGTGACGCTGAGAACTTTTCTAATCGCATTACATTCAATGTGTCAAACCTCTTTGTTGCCTCTCTCGTGGAGCACTCACACGAAATCAGAAAATCCGAATCTCTTCTCATCAATCATCGTTGGGCAGGGCTTCTATTCTCACGATAAAGCCACAGTTTCCTCCCATTACATAATTAGGAGTCCCTCTCGTTCCAAACAGTGCGTTGATGAATATGTATAAACGTCAACACGGCTTCACTGAACGCTGTAAAGACCTCGCGGCATTGTTCCGTAAACATGGGAACACAGCAATCCTCCGACTCCTCCGCAGTCTGCGATCTCTCTGCTGCTACGTTTATTGCCTACCTGCGTCTCGTTTGCACGCTCCCACACACAAGGAAAGTAAAAACAACAAACTAATGTGAATATGGAGTTTATTTAGCAAAAGGAAATATTAATCATAAACAATCCATTCGAAAAAAAATGTTTTTAAATATTTCGGTATGCAAAATAAGAATATAAAGATAGCAGCAAAATAAGCGTAAAATGGAAAGGATCTATCGTAAAGCAACGAAGAAGTGAAATAAAAATATTTTTGTTGTGTTGATCAGAAGATTTTCTTAATATTTAACTGGAGACAATTTGAAAATACTGTGAGAATGGAGCTGGGAACTAATAAAAATTGAATTAATTAATTGTATTTAGATAATAATGATGACAAATTATAAGTTCAATGAATAAAATTGAAGTTGAAATTTTCCCTCCTACGTGTTTATCACAAATGCGCTCGTATACCAAGGCTGTTAATATTCTTATTTTTATATACTGCGTCAGAAGAACATCCATATTAAAATAAATCCTTTAAATAGTTTAGACTGCATGACTTAATACCAGTTTCATAAAACGAAAAAAATGGTAAATAAACACCACATGGTCTCGTATCAATCAGAAACTTAACTTGTTTCGTCTGATCTATTTGGACATTTTACAGCAATTTAGTACTGAGAACCTTTTCCAGATAGCAACAGAGAGCGGTAGTCAGCAGAAGAGAGCGAACGCTCCACAGAGAGCCTTGGGCCGAAGAAGGGACAAGAGCAGGTCAGAGAGAGCGACGCAGGTGCGGCCGAAGGGAAAACTGCGGCCTCAAGGCTTCAATGGGAGGACAGGGTAACGCAGGGCAGGATAGGGCAGGTTAGGGCAGGGGGATTGGGGTAGGACAGAGTAGGGCAGAGCAAGTTAGGCAGGGCAGGTTAGGGTAGATTAGGGCAGAGTTAATTAGGTCAGGGGTATGTCGGGGAAGGGCAGGGGAAGGCCGAGCAGTGTAGGAGGAGGACGACAAGGCCGGGCAGGGGAAGGCAGGGCAAGGCACGGCAAGAGAACGCAAGGCAAGACAGATCAGAAAGCAAGACAAGACAGGATAATGCAGGCCAGGAAAGGGCAGGGCTGTGATTGGTAGGGTAGTGTGATCGATGGTCTGATGTTCGAGGGGTTGTTCGAGGGGCACTGTTACACATTGAAAGGCGCACTTACACCAAGCCTAGATTCGTTCAAGACATGGACGTTTTAATTCCATTGTGAATTCCGTACACCATGTGTCATTTCGCAAACCCGATTCCCTCCCCTAATTCCTTTTCCAAATGCGGAAATAAGCGTAGTATGAGTACAGTGCATTTTAAACAGGCTATAGGCAACTGCTGCTACCACAAATTGAGATCAACCTTCGACTCAGCACTACTAATTTTAAAATGATGCCATTTTCCTGAAAACTTTGAGAATCTGGTTGGACCTTTATTCGAAATTCCCATTAAAAATAAACTATTCGTTTCAATCTCAGGGGGCAGTGACATCGGGCAGATGGACCCATGAATCTCAATTTCGGTGAAAATCCTGAGTTCAGTTTAGTCTTGCTATGGATGAACGATCAGTCGAACTGACGGACTGGTGGGCAAGCCCGAGAAACTCTTTTTCACTCTCAAGAACGTACAAATGAGGGTTGACTTATATTATAGTATATGCTTTAATGAGCGTAGATTGATAACTAATATTCATCAGCTGATATTCACGACACGAGCGACCTAGAAGCGTATTTCTACGAGTTGATAGCCATTGTACGCAAGTAGAATACTACAACTTTGAAATTAATGTATTAAAAATACTAAATTGGCACCTTCACCTCGCAGAACGGCTAAAGAACACTCAGTGCTCTCTGATCCAAACAAACACCAACTCGAATACCGTGTCGTGGTTCACCTGTCTTACGACAGCTGCGACCTGCTGCGGTGGAGCCCCCAGAGCTCTTGCCGTCTGTAGGCGTCTGCGAGAAACCTCGGTCTGTCGTGTATAATGAATCAAGACAGCCGTGTAAGAATAATGGCTTGACTTGAGGAATCGTCATCGTTACTGCATCCGACAACCTGCAGAAATGTATACATTCTGGAGTAGTCGTATAGAAAGTATTTTACTAAATTTGAGAGCAAAAGTAAAACACTTACTCAGAAACGAGGACATAAAACGATTTTTCGTGTCGAACAAGCTCTTTATTCAGTGTTTTATTTAACTTTCTCAATCCATGAGGTGGATGCAACAAAGTAAGAGCCAGTTCTCATGGGTTATCTTTGAAATTGAAATATGTTTGAAATCCTTTGGGTAAACAAAGACACAACGTTCTTAGGATACATCTTTAAGCACTGGTAACGCATAAGGTAGAACCGTCTAGCCGTAAGCCATACTCAGTTTTCTAAGGCGGATCGCCGGAAAGGGAAAAGTAGCGAGCGCCGGGTGGAAAGCGAACAGGTCGCACGTGTCTGTCCCTCGGTGACGCTTGCGCCAGCGCCAGCGCCAGCGCCAGCCCTTCACCGTCGCCTTCGCCTGCGCCCGCGCCTGCGCCTGTCGGCTCCTGGCAGCGCGATTATGGACCTTCGCGAGTGGCCACGAGTTCCTCGGAACCACCAGAAGAAGCGGTCGGCGCCGCGAAAGGAACGAAGCGAGGGGCGTGGCGGAAGCGGCTCTAGCCCTCGCAGGGCTGCCAACACCGCGCGCGCAATACTGCGATGCACACGAGTGCTGCCGAGGCCGAAGCTATGACACTTGAACATCGTTGATCACCTCATTTAGGTCCAGAATTGAGTTGATCACATGGCATAATCATGAATGGAGTGGCATGAAAGTTTGATATGGTTATATTGAGATTTAAGACAACCACAGTAATTGGCGCCCGGGTATAGAAATGCAATGGAATCGGAAGAACAGGTCGCACACGTCGTAGCCGTCTGTACGAGTAGCTGTCTGTACGGAAGAAATCAAGAAGAGCAGCGGAACTACGGATCAGAACAAATGGCGTAACACACTCGTTGGGGTTCAGCATTCGCAAATGTCGGCCCCTGCGGGATAAAATTCGCTTGAGAAAGCGCCGCTGAATTCGTCCGAAGGGTATCTTCTTCGCAGTTTGATAAGCTTGGGGAAAAGACCCAACAACACGTTCTTAAAGTAAAGAAGTAAATACTCTCTATTTCACAATACATTATGTGTGCGCCCGACAATAAGATCATTCAAGTATACTTGTATAACGGGACATTTTTTGTATCTAAGAACGTTACTCAATTGTTTTTCATTCTATATAACTTATTCATGTTCATTCTGTTTCTAATATAATGCGTAAAAAATATTGTAGCTGTACTTTCCTACATGATCGAGTGTTCAAAATGGGTTTCGGGTGACACCGAATGCCCATCTTCCATCATCTTTTGAATCGAAGCTTCTAGGCTACACTGGCCAAATAAGGCTCTTGATTTTGTAATGCTGTTTACTAAAGAGTGATATAAAAGCATGAACGTTTTACGTTCAGGTTTGAAGGTTTAACAGACTAGTATTATTGTCTGTTATAAGTGTTGTCCGCCCGAAAGCGAGAATGTTACTTTATACAGACTTATTAATATATTTCACATTATTGCTAAATACAATAAACAACTGACTGAATTAATAACACATCACAAAATAAAAACAAGAAAAAATTGCCATTCAAACGTGTTTCTGTCAATGAAAAAAATGTTTTTTGAGTGATATAGAATTTAGTAAGAAAATAAATAGCTAACATATATCGCTGCCAGTAGTAAGTGAAGAAGTGAACTACCCCTGTAAACGAGGATAAAATTGGAAAAAGAAAAGTACAAGCGCAAGCGATAGGAAAGACGTGCACTCACCGGAAGAAGGTCTGGTCGCTTCCGGGCGCAGCGCGCGGTGCGTCTTGGTGCCGGAACTTCCGCTTCCCTCCGCCCCTGCAAAACGAACGCGTTAGAAGCCATTCGACAGCGCTCATCGCTTTCCGCGCCTCCACCTGCCTACACGACGTCGCCAGCAGCTAGTGTGGACTGCTGCGGGCGCGTGTGTATTCATAAAACCATTAATATGTATAAAAAAGCAGAAAGAAATACGCTATGATACATTACGGCCAGAATTGTGAGATTTCATAATTCGTAGTCCGAGGAATTTCTATTGCATTAAAAAAAAAACAGAAAAAAAATGTAATTTGCCATCACTGCCGGGGATTGCTTTGCTCGGCCTTTTCCTACGATCAATTTCAAGCGAATGTCAGAACATTTCCTTCCCTAATCGGCCACAGCTTCCTTCTCCGTCCTCTCACCCCCCCCCCATTCTTAGGACCGAGCAATGAGGAGAGCCCTTTTCTTCACATGGCTCATCTCCCAATGAGCTAAAAAAGTTTCCATATTTGTGGGAGATGTGTGGCAATAGCTACGAGAGTAAGAGACTAGGATCGAAATAGCATATTCCTGGCGAAGTATTCAATGAACTTTTTTTCTAATGACTTTTTAATTGACATTTTTCCACGGCTTGTAAGTAAGTGTTATGCGTCCTGCGCAAATGTATTCCGGAGCCACGCGACGAACTATGCGTTCAAAGTGAGCCTGCCTTGGGCCCGGGAAGTCGGGTATTAGAATGGAATGTGAGGTTGAAGAATTTTCTGGTTCTCATCTCGCGCCATTGAAGGATGGAAGGGAGAACAGTTAGACCTTCCCTATCCCTCTCCTCCTTCCCCGTTTAAATTCTCTTCCGTTACCTACACACATGAGATTGAATTTTCATTCAACGCTATCCTCGAACGACCGTTTTGTTATTGTTATTTCTCATCTTCCCATACAAAATCCCGCAAACTTCCTACCGCACCATCCTTTTCTCTCGCACCTTATTCGTATGTTAGTTGTTTTTAGATACAGTTCTTTAAGTACATTAAATTTTGACCACCAATATTATCATAAAAATAATTAAATTCTACGGGCAGAACACGAAAATTCTTCAAAAAAAAGGGTATGTATTTTCAATTGAAAACTTTGTGCAATTAAACGCTATGGTATTAACTTTTCACCTCATTATTTTAAACGGAGTGCATTGTTGCTAGATTTTAATGCTAAAATCTTTGTTCTTGCCGTTGCTGTGGAAACGAATGGTTTCAGAATGCTTCAGATTCATAGTTTCGATAATACAGTTTTAGTTATATTACTGTTTATTTAATCATTACATGTCAAAAAAAAGGAACACGTTTCCAATCATTAACAAAGTCGAGTGATTCGGCCTCTTGAGATAGGGTCCGGCGCGGATGAGCGAAAGTACGTAGACACAAAGCCCGTCGGTTTGAAAGCTACGTAAGACACGAATGTTTTGAGTTGGGTTTGAGGTGCTGGAGGCATTGCAAACCTTGTACTTCAACAATAATACAAATACCTAGGTGGGGCCAAGGAATACCATGGGCTGTTATGTAAAGGTACGGGAGCGAGATAGCAATGTGTGGGGTGTGCGAAGGTGTTCTGCACCACCTCCAAGAACAGCGGTAGGTACCGATAGAAGCTCTGGTAGTCTTTGGAGCATCGAAGAGAATTGGAACCTAAGTAGTGAGAGAAAGTAAATGGAAAAAAATAAAGCTTAACATAATATTTATAAACTCGCAATCACGATATGTTTCTTACATTCAGTATTTCTTTGCGGTTAAATCGCATTTTGTAGAAGGGGGTACGGCTTAAAGATGAAGTACTATTTCTGAAGGCGATTTATAGGTAGATAACTGTTTAATAAATGGTTACAAATTCAGTTTTTCTTTTACATTTTATTTACACTATAACGAAACGATATTAATACGGCGAACCAGACAAGCGAAATGGTGCTAACGATTCGGCGTTAGTTGAAATTTTCTTTATTACTAGCATTTCATATTGCACGTTTTGTCCATACATGTTTTCCATCATTCTCGAATTGAATACTTAGATACTAGGGGTGAGGCTCGGAAATATGTCGTGACGTGAACACTAGTCCTGTTCCGTGTAAATTATTGATCACGCTCCCCGAACTTGGTTGTTCTGCTTTCAATTCCATTTATTTCAGTAATAGTTTTAAATACTGTAATAACATTTGTTTGTCCGCTGTGCCTTCGATTTTGTTTACTACAACACAACTTCAAATACACGTACGTCTTTTGTTTGTGCAAGCGGAGTTAATTCACATACGCTATGTAAAGTAGAAGCCCTACGGGAATTTCTCGCGGTAACATTTTATAATCTGTGTTGAGACCCCCTTCAAGTAACCCGTGGACGAAAATTGATTACATATTCGAACTTTTTGTTTCGTGTCCGAAAGGAAACCACAAGTTGGTATCCAAAAGTAAGAGAATAAAAAAAATTATAGATAATGGCGTCGAAAAAGAACGCACGCGAACTGCCAATCTGCGTGGCTGCTTCTGCCCGTTCCCTCGCGGCCCGGGGTCGCATCGAGGCCTCTTGGCCCATGCGCCCACGCTCCTCAGGCGGCTGCGCACTTTATAGCCCATATTTATGCAAAGGAGCTGATCTGGACGAAGGTCAGCCCATAATTCACACGCTAAAGCGGCGGACGGCCGCTGGTGCGGGGCGGGCTCCCTCCCCGGCTTCATCGGCTCAGACACGATTCACTCCGAATCCTCTTCATACTGCTGCAAATACGGTCAAGCAATGTCCACATTGGTGTTGATGTTTTCTTCACGATTAATGTTCCTTGGCAAGAATAGATTTGCATTCAAATTTTTAGATTCACATCTTGGTTCAACTGCTTTTCGTGCAAATTCTTTCCGAAGACTGAAAAGAAAAATTACGATATGCCACTTAAAGTTTTCAATTCGCATCAGACTTTACCGTTCCGAATATATTGCTGTGCAGCTTCCTGACGGGTTATTGCCCAGCAGGCCTAGGAGATTTCCATTCATTTCCTGACACGAAAAAGGAAAGGAGAAATGTCAGAAAGTAATCAACCAGACAGGCAACGGCTTACAACCCTGCCGATAGCGAAGATAGGGGTAAGAAAATAATAAAACAATCTGAGTAAATAATATTCCTCGATTTTTCCGTGACGTGATCCCAGGTTCGACTTCCGGTTGGGCAAGATTATAGTGAGCGTTTTCCTTGCAATATTCTAGTATGTGTTGCTGTGTGACGATGAGAAAGCTCACTTCTCAGGTTAAGAAGACTAGAATACAGCGTAGGGATATCTTCGTGTCAACCACACGTACCCCTTATCCCATGGCCGAAGGTCGGGACGCTACTGGGAGGCCGTGGCCCCGTACTCGGGCACTAGCGCCAAGCACAGAGTAAATAATAATAATTGTTATCCTTCTGCACGAACGTAGGTGGCTGCCAGATGGAAGAAGTCCCTCGAGATCCCGTCTTACTACACCGCCAGTGCGCACAGCCACCCCTCAACTGTTAACTCGCACCCGGCATCACTCACAGAGAACAACCCACTCGCATTCTTTATTCGGTCTGCAGTTGGTACTAACATTGATGAGACTTGAGCAGTTGGTACTAACAATGATGAGATGAAGATAAGTTTAACTCACTGGCACGCTTGCAAACATTCCGTACTTTCTTAAACATTACTTTAAAAGTGAATACAACTGCTTATTCGAACACAACTTCGAACGTTTTCACAACCCCTGCTTCGGAGTAAGGGTATACATGCAACAAAACCTAAAAAAAGGTCTCATAGTATAGATTTCGACAAAAGTAACACATCTCGTTTTCTTTGCGGGTACGAAATCAGATACCCTAAATTTAATTACCTGAAAAGCATCGTTTCAGTTGTGAGCAATTTGCTAAATTGTAGAAATTTGCGCATATTGAAGCATAGTGTATTGCCGGCTGCACGTACACCTCATTCTCTTTATTGTGAACTAGTCCACATTTGTCTTCAATGTGCTTGATGGAAAACGGGGGAAAGTTAACCAAAACTAATAACACACTGACGACGTGTTTTGTCTTCTTTTATCAATACATTTTATATAAAGGGGATTATAGTATGAGATGTCAACATAACACCGTATACCAACATCCAAATTATAAAGAGGCGAAGGAGAACAATTGATTTTTTTTCACTTTTTCCACAGCCTTGAAAATAGTTGTACCTATCGCTCTTGTCCCTTTTACGCACTGTTAAAATTGTCTCTTAACATTAATTATTTTACAAAGAGGTAAATTTTTCAGATTTCCCTCTAACATGAAATGTCTTTGCATGTCATAACCCTTTGCTTCCGTTATCAACCTGATGGCGTGCAGCCTCCCAACCCACTGTCCCCTCTTTCAGAGCGACGCAATGGGCTTCTAGTGGTGGGGCGGGAGCGCACTTCGTGGCACGACGGAGATGTCGGAAGCAAACGAGGCAATGACGACTGAGTCAACGGCGAGGGTTAGGATGGGGTTTAGCGTTTAGAATTTAGCGTTGCTGGTTAGTGGAAGTGGTAGTAGTGGATTGATTGTGCGATATTCTAGGCGCGTAAGCTACTAAGATCATTAGTCCCTTCAGTGTAGTGCATGTTTTTTGAGAGGTGAAGGTGGCCTTACCCCTCCGGATGTCTAGATCCGGCGCCAACCTACCGTCGGCTAGCGGGGTTTTCCCACCAGCGGGCACTCCTCCCCAGCTGGGGCAAAGCTCTAAGCTCCTGGCCGGTGTCCCGACACGTGTAGAAAACTATCGATCAGACCAGACGGACGCTAGAATTCTCCTCCGCGATTGAATTTGACGTAGCTGACAAGCTAGTGTCGAAATTCCAGCCACGGTCGGAACTCCAAACTAGGACCTCCCAATCACAGCGCCTGCAGTGACATCAGTTGATGCCCTGAGCCACATCTCCCGGTAAAGTGATATGGGGGCGATTGGCTTTCAGCCCAGCCTCTTCATTCGCGCGCATTCAGCAGCAGCGACCAGGACACCCCTCACACGAGCATTCTTAGCCAAGTGCTGT